TTTGACAGAGGTGCCAGGAATGTGCATTGAGGAAAGGATAGTCTCTTTGATAAACAGTGTTGGAAAAACTACATATCCATATTTAGAATAAACTAGATCCTTATCCCTCACCATATGCAAAAATCAACCCAAAATGGAGTGAAAACTTAAATGTAGAGCCCAAAATTATGAAATTATAAAACTTTTGGGGGAAAATGTAGAGAAAATGCTTTGGTACATTGGTCTAGGCAAAGATTTTGTGGATAAGACCTCAAAAGCACAGACAACCAAAGCAAAAATAGACAAATATGCACTAAAAAGCTTCTGTATAGCAAAAGAAACCATCAAGAGAATGAAGAGACAATCTGCAGAAAGCAAGTAAATGTTTGCAAGGTATTCATCTGACAAGGGATTAATATCCACAATATACAAGGAGCTCAAGCAACTCAACAGCAGCAAACAAACAAACACCCCAATAATCCGATTTTAAAATGGGCAAATGATCATAATAGACACTTCTCAAAAGAAGACATACAAATGGCCAATAAATACATTAAAAATGCTCAACATCATTAATCATCATGGAGGTACAAACTGGAATCGCAATGAGATATCATCTTACCCTAGTGAGAATGGGTATTATCAAAAAGACAAAAACTAAAAAGACTACAAAAACAAAAAAACAAATGCTACCAAAGTTGTGGAGAAAGGGGAACTCTTGAACACTTTAAGTGGAAATGTAAATCAATATAGCTATTATGGAGAACAGTATGGACACTTCTCAAAAAACTAAAAATGAAACTACCATGTGATCCAGAAATCCCACTGGGGATACATATTCAAAGAAAAGGATATAAGTATGCAGAAAAGATATCTGAAAGCCTGTGTTTATTACAGCACTACTCGTAATCGCTAATATATGGAATCAAAATGGGTGTCCATCAAATGAATAAATGGATAAAGAAAATGTTATCTGTGTATATATATACATATATATATATTTACATTACATATACATATATAACACATACACACAATAGAATGACATCCAGCTATAAAAAAGAATAAAATCCCATCATTTGCAGCAACATGGACGAGCCAGAATGACATTGTAGTAAGTGAAATAAGTGAGGCACAGGATAAATACTGCATGTTCTCCTTTATATGTAGAAGTTAAAAAAGTTAATCTCGTAGAAGTAGAGAGTAGAATAATGATTACTGGGGCTGCGAAGGATGGGGAGTGGTGATAGGGAGAAGTTGGTTAATGGTTACAAAATCACAGCTATAAAGAATAAATAAGCTCTGCTGTTCAATAGCACTGTAAGGTGACTATGGTTAACAATGGTGTATTACATATTTTCAAATAGCTAAAAGGTAAAATTTTGAATGCTCCTGATACAAAGAAATAATAAACATTTGAGGTGATGGATGTAATTATCCTGATTTGATCAGCCAGACTATATGAATGAATTAAAATATCATACTGTACTCCCTAAATATGTATAATTGTTATGCGTCAATTAAAATAAAAATATTAACACCTTTAGAAATACTGTATTGTAGTGATATACAACTTGAAAGAGATGTGGAACTTGTATTCTCAAATCTTTTCTCACTTTACTACATTGGGCTAAAAGTAAAATGCACCAAAAGACTAGTATTACATAGTTAATGATAAGAAGTAAATTATAATTGTGTCTAGATGCCTTCTAATCAATGTTATCTAAGTAAAACAATGCAAGGAATATATTTTTAAAACTGGCAGAATGGGCTGGGCACAGTAGCTCACACCTGTAATCCCAGCACTTTAGGAGACCGAGGTGGGTGGATCTCCTGAGGTCAGGAGTTTGAGACCAGTGTGACCAACATGGTGAAACCCCATCTTTACTAAAAATGCAAAAATTAGCCAGGTATGGTGGTGGGTGCCTGTAATCCCAGCTACTCAGGAGGCTGAGACAGAAACATTTGAACCCGGGAGGCGGAGGTTGCAGTGAGCCAAGATCACGCTATAGCACTCAAGCAAGACTCTGTCTCAAAAACAAAACAAAACAAAAACTAGCACATTGTCTCTAGAAAAGGTCAGATAATATTGGAAATATCAAAAGATAGAGTTGAATGAAATATTCAAGTAATTAAGTAATCTTTTGAAGACATTAACTATCAATAAATTATTACCATTTACGACAAATAGTATGTGATAACTCAAGATTTTTACATCTAATCAATTGAAAATTCTAAGAGATTATCTCACAATAAAGATTTCTTTATTCTTCATCAAGCCACAAATGAAATTAAACTCAACCTGAAATAGTTATCTCCATCTCTCCTTCAAACTGTCGACAATTATACGGTGGATAGGAAAGCAGGAGAAACATATATCTGTGAGTATTTATAATATGCCAGGTTCTAAGTGTTGTATACATGTTATATTGCATTCCTTCTTCACCATCAACCACTGGGTAGATCTTATTAAGGATAATTTTCAAAGCAAGTAAGAGCTGGAAAGGATTCAATCCTAAGTGGTTCAGGCTCCAAAGTGGTACTCTTTCCAACATATTGTTTTAACTCCTCTAAATATTATTTCTTAGGGTTACAGATCAAACATCAAACATCTTTAGAACAACATCTGATTCCCTTAGTAACATTGCACTTCGATTATTTCACAATTTCACTGAATATGTCGTAGAGCAAAATGACTTTCAATCTTTGTGTTATGTAGGCATTATTTTGTGCACCTGCTCTAATAATGGCAATTACATGGCAGAATCAAACATGAAGGAAAGCCTTCTTTATTTATTGCACATTAAAGTTGCAGGATCACATAGTGCAATAGGAGCAGAAATAAGCTCATCCTCCATTCCTTAAAATGAAACAATACATCCATGTTTATTACAAGTGTCAGGAAGGTTGAATGCATTCATGGTCATGGTCATCTAAAGTCATTTTTAAGAGGCAGAATAAATGTTGGTTTAATCAAATGTGGGTGCATGTATTGAAAAGATAAAGGAAATATGCAGATTAATTATTTGTTGTATAGATTATACATTTCTTTTATTCCAGCTGTTTTAACCTTGCCACTAAAATCTCTTGCCATTATGAATTATCATGGAATTTAAAACAAATGTTAATATCCTTAAAACATACCGCAGATGAGAAGTCATATAATGCATTGTTACTCTAAGACACATTTCAGTATATTTTATAGATTAAAATACAATAAATTGGCTAATATTTATCAATTTTTATTAATTTTTCCAAGTTCTTTTCTACTGGTTTTAGCTTCTACAGAAGGAGGAATGTTCTGTGAAAAACTGTTACAAGATTGTAAACTCGATGAGAGCAGGCCCTGTATTTTATTATTACTGTGAAGGCTCCAACGTCTGGCACATCTTTTATTATAATAGCAGGAGCTCAATAAATAGGTGTTGATGGATGAATGAATGAAAAACAAAATAAATATTTAGATGTTAAGTAAGAGACGTATACTTATGATTAAAGGGAATGGACAGGGAAATGCATCCTTAAAAGGTATAGGCTCTATCAAGAGTGACTAAATACTTAATCTTTAAAAAAGAATTTAAAGTTGATTTAATAATTTTAAAAATAATTATTCAAATAGGATTTCCTTCTGACACAGAATTTTTTTTTAGTAGGCAGGGTATTTTTCCTAAAACCAATATATGAAATTTCTTCCTATGCCGGCACTCTTAAATATGATAGAACTGGTAAATCAAAGAAGTGAAAAGACAAGTTAAGAAATGTGTATGTGAATGCGCATAAATCACAGTCACCAACAATTAAGCCACATGCATTTTTTAAGGCATTTTTATGTCACTTTAAAGTATAGACAGAACAAATAAGTGAGAACACCTTCCATTGCAGGTAAGAAAACTTAAGTATGGAGAGTCTGAGTGGCTTAGCCAAATTCACCCTCTAACCAAGGAAGAGTCTGGACTAACTCAGAGATCTTTCTACTCTCTTAGTCCTCCTAATTGTGATACCTTGGGCACATCATTTTACCTATGTGTGGTTCTCAGCTGTAAAATGAGGATAGAGATATTAGGCTGGCATTTTTAAATGAAGTTTTAAAAGTGAAATATTACAAGTGGAAGTACTCTGATCAAAAAGCACAGATATATAATATTGAATTGCTCTTATAACATAGCAATTTTTATTTTAGTGCAGGCTTCAAAATGGATGCTGGTTAAGAGTAGTCAACAGACCTACTGGGTTCAGATCCCAGTTTGGCCACAAGGTATGTGGCACCGGGCAAAAATTTAACCTCCCTAAACTTCAGTTTTTCCATCTGTAAAATGCTAATACTAATTCCTAACATGAAAAATAATTGTAAGGATCAAGTATGATAACATACCTAAAACACTCTTCTCAGTGTCTGGTACAAAATAAATACTGGCTATTGGTACATAGCACAAAATAAATACTGGCTATTGGTAAAATGACTTGTATGTTTAGTTTGATTGAAGTAGTCTTTAGAATCAGATATTGTTCAATTATATTGAATTTTCATACAATGATATTGAAAGTAAAAGTACCCCAAGAAATATGTTTTAAAGAGCAATAATAAATGGCCTGTCCCTCCTCAAAAATCTTTTTCAAAAATAAAGGTAGGGAGCTACAGAAAAGTCTCTGCTGGGGATGTATCAAAAGACAAGAGAAGCAAGAGTTCAACAGGGATTTGGGAAAGGGAATGCTAAAGAAGGCTAGGGCACAGCTAGAAAACAGATTTTCCTGCTTCACAGTTTTGCTAGAGCTTAAAGACACAAAGACTAGCAGTTCCAGATCTTTCCAAAGTTCACACCAGCCTGCCAATATAAATTCAAAAGCAGATTAGAAGACTGATAGTCTTTCTTATTTCTTAATCAGCATTTTAATATAGTCTTTGATAGCCTTTTACAGAAATATGTATTTGTACAGAATATAGAAAAATGAGATGAACACATTTTTAAGTCATTCTTGAACAAAACCTCCTTTTTTTCCCATCAGTATTTGCTTTTTCTTACCGGCTCTCCTTTATCCCCTTTCTGCCCAGGTGAACCCGGAGCTCCTGGTAATCCTGCTTCTCCCTGAGTAAAAATGCATATCTGTGTTAGCAAACATTCTGTCACATTGATCTAAAGCCAAATAGTTTATAAATATGAAGCTGACAATAGCAAGATAAGGCTTTGTTCTCTAAGCTGATGCTTAGAGTGAGGAATAGTGAGCCATGTGAACAAGGGAAAATAGGCATGTCCAAACACCATTTAGCATCATCTCCTCCAGACCTTTCATGAGCTAGAACACATGCTCCTTCTCTATGCCCCTCCCCTTGAACCTTGTCTTTTCCATGGCACTTACTATGCGATTTTAGCCACTAAAAAAATGAAAATTTCCCTTAAATTTTCACTCCATCCCCATCCAGGTTCAGCCAAGAGTTGAAGTAGTGGTGGATGAGTAAATCGAGGACATGTACTAGGTCACAGTGCTAGGGCATACTCTGCTCCATAGCAACTGGAGCAAGTTCTCCTTTCCTCAGGTATGGGCATTGGAGAAAGCCACCAAGACACCACTCAGCCTTGTAGCACAGTCTATATGACTGACATTAACATCCATAAAGGAAGTTCATAAAGATCCATGGCTTGGCGTTCTTGACCAGGGGATCATATTGGTGCAGATGAAAAAATTATTTGAGTAATAACAGAGCATCTCCCTATATTCCCCTAACAACTTATGGTGGATGGAGACAGATGGCTGAAAATCTGGGGATGCTGGAAAAACACAGTTTACATGGAAAAAGAAATACAATGTAAACTATTTTTGAGTATATTTTTGAAGAGCAGGCAGTGTTTTCTTCAACTGTGAATTCCCAGAACTTCAGCCTATTCTTAGCACACATTAAGTGCTCAGTACTTGCCTGTTGTACAGGTGGTTCCTCCCTTCACCTTTCTATTAATTCTAGTTGATGCCCTGGAAGGAGAACTATCCAGATAACAATCCAGGAAGTCCTATCTTCAATGCCTTTTTCTTAACCCACCCCAGCAACTGAGGTATTCGCTTCAACAAACATTGAAGGACAAGATACTTTCTGTGAACAGAGACTCCATTCAAGGAGCTGGGCTCATAGTCTGGGGGGGCTTTCAGTGTGCACAGATTAAAACCAGCATACCTTGTTCGGAATGCACTGGCACTGGTCTTTATGTTCCTGCTTTACTGGAAGATATGCAGACATTTTGCTGGCATGAGTAGTTACTGATGATGATGCAATATTTCCAAAACCATCCTGTTCTAGGCACTAAAATCCAAAAAGATGCTTTAGGAAATTGGATTAATTCCAAACATTCTGATGTTCCAACACTGGTTCCCACTAAACTAGGGATTTCTGAGGTTGCCTGCAAGAACTGCTTTCTTATTAACCAAAAGTTGACACCGGTGTGAGAATGCTTATCACACATTTGCTGTTTCCACCTGAGCCCATGTGTTTTCTTATACTGACAACACACAAGAAAAATATTTAAAATGATAGTCTTGGTAAGGAGTTCTAAAGTTACATTAGGTAACTTTTTGGTAAGTACAGAAATTTCATACATTTATAATAATTGTACTGTTGCAATAAAATAATTTGTAAAAACAATATGTGAATACGTCTTTTGGGAACAAAAATTAAACTTGAAGCACATAATTTGAACCTAAAAAATATGCTTACCTTCAACAAGATTATTATTAAAGCATCTAAAGTAGAAAATAAATTCTTTTTACACTCTTAGACAATGCTTATTAAATCAAAGTATACTTTGTTCTAGTCTACTGTTCTTTAAACTTATTAAAAATGTCTTCACTGCAACAGACAAGTAGTGGATTTTATACTTATCCAGTGAGTTCAGAGCATGCCGGACAACATAAAGTGAAATTTAATTACAAAGCAATGAACTTTTTTTTTTTTTCAAAAAAATTAATCCAAATGGAGAATCTGAAAAGGATAAACACATTCTTTATTCTCAACATCATGTACCAGGCTCCTCACAAGAGTTTTCAACTCTGAATTCACAATTTCATGAAGTGAAAGCACTAGGAGAAAGTTAATACATTACTTTGTAAACCACAAGTTATAAATGTGAGATAAGGTATTTTCAGGATACAAAACTAAAATATTGTCTGTGTTTATCTACAGTGGTTGAGATCACAGTTGATACTTATTTTCTTTTACAGATTTGGCTATATTTTCCAATACACATAGATAACTTTTGTAATAAAAATTCATTTTGATGATCCATGCAGCAAACCACGATGGTACACATTTCCCTATGTAACCTGAACATCCTGCAAATGTACCCTGAACTTAAGTTGGAAATAAGAAATGTAAAAAAAAAAAAATTGGTAGTAACTGAATTATTTGATAATTACAATAAAAAATGCAACAAAACTAGCACCCAGAAATACTGTAAGTAGTTTACTGTCTGGCACTAGTTCTTTCAAATCTACTCTCTCCAGAATTCACGATTAGTTATTTATCCCAAATCCAAAATTCTAAAAACTACTGTACATTTGAATGGAACAAGTTTATCACCAAAACAGTTCATTCATCTCATGTGATTTGATATTATTTCTCAGGCAGTTCTTACCTCATGGCTTCAAAGTCAGATAATAAATACCTACTTAGAATTCATATTTTTGCTCTGGATAACTGAGTCACTATATTAAATTGAGGATTTAAACAACTTTAAAAGTATGTCTCAGCCTTCACCATAAACCTCTCCACACTCCAGTGCCTAGAGGCAACACCAAACACAAGTAAGGACTCTTCTCCTCATAAAACCTCTGGTTTTGATTGGAAACGTATTCAATATCAGCCCTTAACATTTTAACCACATTTCTCATTTATTTTCAACAACTGTTACTGATTTCATCCTTCTCTTAATATTTGTTCTTCATTCTTTTTGTGCCTATCGTCATGAAACTTGACTACTTTAGAAACTGAAAATCTAACAGAAACAAGGAAGCATGTTTATAGGTGATCTTCAAGAAATGTTGCCTTTGAAATGCTTCATAAAATACTGATAACCAGAAAACATGTGTGATTTGAAATTCGAGGATAAAATTAGATACTTAAGCAACTACATTAAAAATTTCTAAGTTCAAAACATTTTGCAACGAAAAAAGAAAATAAATACAACTGGTATCAGAAGTACAGCAGATGCATTTAAATGGCTTTTATATAATTATTTATCTCTCCAACTGTACATTCCTATTTATAAAATGTAGTTTATTTCTATTTTTTGTTAGTCATTAAATGAATGGTGATATCCCCTCCAAATAATTGTCAGCAAAAAATACAGTCTTTTGTTATTTTTTCCATAGTTGGAGATAAATTTCCACCTTAATTTCTATTCTTTAAAACTAACTCCCAAATAATCTTTTCAAAATGTGATTTAAAAATCTCTTGTTCATAATGTGTGAGATCATGTTTTGCTTTGAATTACCAACCAACCATTGGTAATTCATCACCTATACTTCTTAAATAATTTCTTCATAAATCAGTGGAAAGTGCCTACTATATTAATATAATGATAAAGGCAATGATGACCAGTCAAGTATATAATATTCTGACATATCAAAAGATCATTATATTACTGTTCAATCAGAGAAAGTTATTATTTTTAAAACTTTTGCATCAAAAAAGCATAATTTTAAAAAACGTTTGGAGAATTAACACCTTCAAGACTTAAATGTGTAGCTCCAGGAAGTCTAGGTATTTAAGTCTGTAGACTGGCATTCTAAATTGTCTTTTCAGATATTTATAGAAAGATATTTGGCTGGCTTGCATTTTACTTGGAATGAGATACATGAAATGGATTGGATACATGCTTTATAAAGCCAAGTTACAAAGCAAAATATATAATATTTGAAAGACTTAGCTTTGCTTTAAGTCACTTGGTCATATTCTCATTCCACTACCCAAAGTGAGCCACGAAAGTTAAAAATATTTTTGAATTATAAACTCTTGATAAAATTATTGTGTAATTTTCTATGCCAAGTATAGAACTTTTAGGAAATCTAAGATCCAAAGAAAAGGCATTTTCACCTTTTACTTTTACTTTTCATAAGTTCTTTCTGTACTTTTTAAAGAACTAATCCCTTTTGAATATCTTTCTGTTCCATTTATCTCTTTTAGTAGTTAATAAGTCAACAAATGAAACAATGATTGTCTACTTTCTCCAAATGAAGCATAGGAATAAAAACTTTATAAAGGTAAAACTTCCCTTACTGAGTCTAAATTGTACTTAAATAAATTTAAAAACAAATATAATTATGCCTAGTATAAGATAGCACACATGACCCTTACAATGACAGATATAGAAATTATTGAATTTAGTGTTCTTCTTGTAATTAAAGATTGATATAAGAAAGTAACAGTTGGACAGTTAGGTTGGGAATATTTAGAACCAGAGATAAGGAACTAGATTTATATTTTGTTTCCAATGGGAGACACTTAAGGACTTGAAAGAGAAGAAGAGAGGGCAGGAAATGTGCCTTATTCGTGTTTGTTAGCCCTGTTCCTTAGCACAGTGTCTAGAAGATCAGTGTTTTGAACAAAGTGCTTGCTGGAAGAGTGAATGAATATACAAAGCAGTGACTCAGACTTATTCTGGTTATGCTGCAAAGTACAGGGGCAGGACATGGGGAAGGCAGTTGATGCAATAATGATTGACAGCCCAGACATGAGATTAAGGTGGACTTCGGAAGTAATAGGAAAATGGAAGAAGAAGATGAAAAGTCTATGTCAAAGGAAAGCTAGCCAGGATGGGTGACAGGGTTAAAAAAAAAATTAGTGAGAGTAAAGTATGATCATAGATTTAAAACTTCTGTAACTGGAAAATAATGGTGCTGCTATCAGAACATAGTTTGGGAAGAAAGGCATAAATTCTTTTTTAGTTATATTGAGTTAAAAGTGAGGAAATATTATCCCAGAAATTAAGGGTGAAATTCTGGGATTAAAACTATAAAAAGTAACCGTGAAAAAGCACTATGAAGGCTTTCTTACTTGGAACAAATTATTCACCTGGTTTCAACAGAACACACTCAGTGCTACCCTACATTTGGACTCTACAAACTATGCACTAAAAGATAATTGGCTTTATTCATTCTTCATCTGCAAAGAAAATTAACTTACCTTAGTGTCTGACATTTCACAACATGTTTCTTGAGCTATGAAGTTTGCACTACAGTAGATTTTAAGTTGGTGAAGTTCAATCTATTAAAAAATTAGTAATAAGAAACATTAGTTTTTTGAGGATCACATTCAGGAAGTTAAGAACTACAGTAATTTAATTGGAAAGAAAAAGAAAAGTAATGTAAATGAATTACTGGTAGATACTTTAATGTTTTTACTAAATGTAGGCTTCATTGTTTCATGAACTACTTGAGAGACATAGAGTTGGATATAGAGATGGATCTATAGATAAATGAAATCAGGCAATGAAAGCAATTGCAAACCTAGGTTAGCTGTTTCAAACAATAAAATAGAAAGCTATTGTTTTACACTACAATAATGTATGCCCATAAAATGAGGCCGTTTAAAGTAAAAAAAAAAAAAAAAAGGATAAAACTTTAGATTAAAGATATGAGCACATGATGGGAAAGGCTTATCTGTACTTCCAGATTCCTATATAGGTGTTTACTTACCAATAAGAAAAAAATGTTTTTATCTATAGTTCATTAATTCTGCCTAAAATCTATTGATTTTATATTATATTGGTTTAATTCAAGCAAGGCTAACAACCTTTTTATAAAAATAATTGATTCTTTCTATTTGCTTAGCAGATTTCTGTTTTTTTGGCATTTGGACATGAAATTAAATGTAGTTCAAGGAAAGTATAATCATGCTTTTAAATGCAATATCAAATCACCACCTAAGAAAAAGTGTATAGTACTGACTATTGATAAAATATCAGTAGAACAAATTCTTAAATAGGCTGTTTGAATTCTTCAAGCACTGAAATGTTGTATTAAATAATGCATTACTTTGAGACCAATAAGCACTTTATATAGAAAGACCCAACTCTAATCTTATAATAATTATCCTAGGATAATGGAAAGTAGGCATTTGTGAGTAGTGGTGAATCTCCAACTTTAAAAGCAAAAAAGGAGGAAAAAAGTTATAACTTTTACTTTACATCTCAAATGAACAAAATCAATTCAGTTCATAGAATACATTAATAACTCCAGACATCTTATAGATTCATGAACAGCCTAAGATTTGCAGACAATGCAAAATCATGAGACTAAATGAAATGTAGTGATTTATGTTCTATAACTTTTTGCAAGATTAAGGTTAATTTTTATTTATAAAGTTTAAATACACTGTCTTACATAGTATAATGAAATACCAGCAGTAACATATGAATTATGAAGAATGAAGAATGAGGACTCCAATTAATTTCGTTCTTAACTAAAACTTATTTATCATCACTGTTATCAAAATAATAAATATTGAATTCCTATTATGTACCATCCATTGTATCAGGCCCTGCATATGAATTGTTTTACTTAACTAAAGATAGATGATCAATTTTCAAGGATTACAATCTAACTGAGTTCCAACCACAGTCAGAATAGTTTATGCTTTCTTTATTCATTCATTACTTTGGAATGCTTCACTGATACAGTGCTTTAGAAGGAGAATGTTTAGGCCTAAGTCTGTACTGATGCTTGTCAAAATGCTGAGTTGACTTAAAAAAAGAAATCTTATCAGTTTTGTCACTTTCTCACAAAAACACACAGGTGGGATATGTGAGATAAAAATCAATCATGAGAATGTTTTTTCCACTAACACGCAGCCCAAATACATTTTTACACCACAACAGATCTTATGAATCACAGGGCATGTGCAGAGATGATGAAAAATTAATCCATTCAAAGTTTTAGTAGAACCAAGAATCTTTTACAAAAATACGAAAAATTCTGCTTGTTTAACTCAAATAGAAACTATCTCTAAAAATAACTGCAGCATTGTGACATGTCTTCAAGTTTATTCTCAAATGAATCAAGAATCCACATTAAATTTTGAAACCACTGAAATACCATGGTTTTCACCTATGTTCTTTTCATAAGGATTCACTTGATATTCTTTAGCCTCAAATTGTGGTATCAATTATTTCCTTGGGTGATAAGTTAATGAGACATAGGACATAGAACACTTAATCTTCTTAGGTTGAGGTCTAAGACTGGATCCCATTCTTGCAAAAACTCTAGGAAATAAACTATAAACTATTTATACATAACACACTAAGAAAATGTACAGCCATCAAATTTAGATATATATAATTTTTTAAGATTATAGGTCTTGTTCTCTAGGGAAATCAATCAATAATAAATTTATATCATGTTAGCCTCAAGTGTAATATTTAAAGGAACTTTATATCCAAAAGGGTTTTACTAGGTAATTTTTCTCTTTCAAATGACCTACTAATACATTTAGTGACTATTTTAGTAGAATAGAACCCTGAAACACTGTTATAAGTTTATAAAAAAAACTTTGCAATACAAAATAATTGCTATTTTGTATAATAGCAATTTGTAAGGATAAATGGTCTATTGTTCTTGAATAAAAATAGCAGATAATCTGGAACCATTTAATTTAAACTTCAGTTTTTTCCAGTCCTTTCTATTTAAAACATATGAGCTTAGAGTAAAATTATATTTTGTATTACATTTTCAATTTTCACCAAAATTTACTTTTAACAATCTAATTTTTTAAGGTATGACCTAATTAATTTAAATTTAAAATTTAAATTATTTTAAATTCACAGGTTGAAGAAAATGGGTATAAAATGGAGTGAAAATAATATATGTGAAAATATAGTTGGAAATAACATAGCTGTTCTTCACACATCTGATGGCAAATTAATCAAATTCACAAAATTGATGATAAGGGAATATTTTACACAGTAATAAAAGGAGGATGTTTTTAAATAAGATTTTTTAAAAAATTTAGAAATGTTCGTTCTTTCACAACTAACATCACAACTTACATCCACAGGCTTGCCATCTGAAGCTCGCGCAGCAATAACTGTCTGTCCATGGAAATCCACAGTGTCCTTTTCATCAGTCTGCCTGCTTGCAATTAAATTACAATCCATGTAGAGTGAAATGATCCGGGATTGTACACTAATGCCAAGTTTATGCCACTGACGATCAAACAAAGGACGAAGTTCTCGATTTTTAAAAATGTAGTTCAACACATCTCCCTCTGTGGCTTGAAACATAAATTCCACCACCTTCTTTCCACCATCAACTACTACAGAAATCTGCAAAAATGTAAAGTAACTTTAAATGTTTTAAATATCAATGTTCAAACTTATTAAAGCACACAAAGAAAAGCTCATGATGCATGTTAGTATAACTGGGGCACTTAGTAAAATATTTTAGATGACACTTGTTTCCACCAGGTTTGTTAAAACAAAAGAACAGCGAATACTGCTACAAAAATGGTTTAGAAATGGGGCATTCTGGTGAATGTAATATGCTCCTTCCTAAGAGAACATCTAAGAGAGAGAGAGAGAGAGAGAGAGACAGAGAGAGACTATGTGTGTGTGTAGTTATTTTAAATGTTTATATAAATCATTTATATTTATATATACATAATTTATATTAGCATAGATATAATTTTATAAGAATATATAAATCATTGGTCTGTATTAGTAATGCAGGAATTTAAGGTTACCAATTTAAGAAGACTAAGAATATGATCATTTCCCTAAGTAAGGAAACTAAGATCAATTTTTTCACCATTGATACTTTGCAAGGTACAGAGAAAACATATTTTATAAAGGACATATTCTTTTGGTTCATCTACTCATCAAAAAAGTATAGCTGTATTAACAGATTAAAAGATCAGTGAAGATTTAAAACGTTTCAAAGATCTGTGTAGAAGTAAGTACAAATGTATGGTGCCAATAAGTAATTCCGAGGTTCTTCTCCCTTCCCTGGAGTGCCAGCATTCCCTCTTTTCAGCCCAAATGCCATCCCTTCCACATGCTCTCCTAGATCCCTGCTCTCTCTATCCCACAATTCCAATGAGCTGTCCTTTCTATGCTCCCATTGTCACCACCTAACACTAAGCTTAACTCTACCAATGCACTTGTTCCACTTTATTATAACTATGCTGCATTATGTTGTTCTCCTAGATGTCATCTCCTTAGTACCTTATGCTCCCCGAAAATACAAGTTCTGTTTTTTTTTTTTTTTTTTTTTTTTTTTGAGACGGAGTTTCGCTCTTGTTACCAAGGCTGGAGTGCAATGGCGCGATCTCGGCTCACTGCAACCTCCGCCTCCTGGGTTCAGGCAATTCTCCTGCCTCAGCCTCCTGAGTAGCTGGGATTACAGGCACGCGCCATCACGCCCAGCTAATTTTTGTATTTTTAGTAGAGACGGGGTTTCACCTTGTTGACCAGGATGGTCTCGATCTCTTGACCCCATGATCCACCCGCATCGGCCTCCCAAAGTGCTGGAATTACAGACTTGAGCCACCGCGCCCGGCCCACAAGTTCTGTTTTTTTTTTTTAGATCTCTTTCTCTTTTCCTTGTCATTATCTAGCATATAGCATGTGTTCCATACATTTGTATTGATGGGATAAATATTTAAGTCTCAATCTTTGTTCACCAAGAGCTGCCTGATGAAACAATGAACTGCTTTAAAAATAATATATAACAATAGAGATGACAGAAGATGAAGAATGCGTTAGAAGGAATTAGTCAATGAAGCAGTTGTAAAGAGAATGCAGCTTGACATCTTTTTTTTTTTTTTGAGATGGAGTTTCGCTCTTGTTACCCAGGCTGGAGTGCAATGGCGCGATCTCGGCTCACCGCAACCTCTGCCTCCTGGGTTCAGGCAATTCTCCTGCCTCAGCCTCCTGAGTAGCTGGGATTACAGGAACGCACCACCATGCCCAGCTAATTTTTTGTATCTTTAGTAGAGACGGGGTTTCACCATGTTGACCAGGATGGTCTCGAGCTCTTGACCTCGTGATCCACCCGCCTCGGCCTCCCAACGTGCTGGGATTACAGGCTTGAGCCACCGCGCCCAGCCGCAGTTTGACATCTTTAGAAAAAATATGGATGGACCTAGAAGCAAAATAAAAACAAAGACTAACACTATGTCATCCACTATACTCTCATATTTTGGATCTCAGCAAGATCATCCTAAGTAGGAGAATATTTGCACTTCCTTTTCGATGATCCCTCTAAAAGACAGAACATTTGGATATCAGATTTACTCGCAAATTTGTGCACACAATTCAAAAAATTCACCTGGCTTAATCTAACACAAGGAAAACTAATAAGCACAACTCTAATGGTATTTTACCTGTGGAATATTCTGCTGGTTTAAAACCTGCCACAGAAACCACCGTTCCTTTTTGGTGTTTCTTCGTACTCGAAACATGGCGGTTACGGAGTACTCCTCAGGAAGGCCTTTGGGAAATATCTTACTGTGGAAGGAAAACAAAGAACTTTTGTGTGGAAACTGAAGATGGCAAGAAAAGAAAATCTAGGTATAAAGTTCTGTGTAACAAAACATCTCAGTCACATTTTTTTCAGTGAACTTATAATTTATTATGTACTTTTCTTTCTCTCCTTTCAAAAAAGATTTCTGGTACAGTGTTGTTAAAGCTTGGTGTGTATAAAAATGAGTAAAGAGATTACAGTATTGTTTCCTTATTCAACAAGATATTCAACAGAAGACAACCTCAGAATTCACTGCAGTCTGACAAACAGTAGAAATTTATCAAGGAAATAAAATAGTGTTACTTGATTTTGTTGGTAGAGAGAGGTACAGAGAATTTTAAAGAACACTGGTGATAAGTAAATGCATATTTTCCAAACACATTTCATCATATTAAATTCTTGCAAATGAGTTCCTAATACTGATTTCCTAGTCCCAACTGAAGACCATGCAATTATAACATAAGATATTTTAGCTTTATTTTTCAGTTTGCTCTTTTATGGCTATTAACTTTTTCTTGCTTTGTACTATTGTCATACAAATCACATCTTTACATTTTATATTCCCAGCAATGTAAATTTCTAATTACTGCTTTATGTATGTATATATTTATCCAACTGTATTTTAAATCTGATGAAAAAAATAAAAGAAACACAAAGTACATTTATTCTGGCTTTTATATTTATCTATGTAATTAATTTTTCCAGTGCTTTTTATTTAATTGTTTGTATTTGAGTTACTGTGTAGTTTCCTTTCATTCAGCTTAAAGGCATTTCTTTACTATTTGTTGTAGGGTAGTTGTGCTAGTCTCAATTCTGGCTTTTTAAAATCCTTAATTTCACCTTCAGTTTTGAAGGATAGTTTTGTTGGATATAGAATTCTTGATTTACAGTCTTTCCATTCAAAATGTTGACTATGTCATCTCACTGCCTTCTGGTCTCCACGGTTTCTGATGAGAAGTCAGCTTACTCATATTAAAAACTTATTGTATGTGGTCAACTACTTCTCTCTTGTTACTGTAAAAATTCTCTCTGTCTTTGACTTTAGGCAGTTTATCAAGTGACCAAGTGTGGATCTCTTTGAGTTTGTCCTTCTTAGAGTCTGTTGAGGTTCTTGAATATATAAATTAATGATTTTTACCAAATTTGAGGAGTTTGTATTTCTTATTTCTTCAGATAGTCTTTCTTTACTCTCTCTTCACTCCTAGAATTCCTATGCATGCTTGCTGGTATCATACAGGTCTTGAGGCTCTGTTTATTTTTCTTCATTATTTCCCTCCTGTTATGCAGACTAATTGAACTATCTTCAGGTTTCTGAATTTTTTCTTCTCCCACCTAAGATCAGTTCTTCAGCCCCTCCTGTAAATTTTTCATTTCTGTTTTATACTTTTTTACTCAAAAATTTGATTTGCTGCTTCTTAATAATTTCTATTTATTGATATTCTCTATTTGGTAGACATCATTCTCATACTTTTCTTTAGTTCATTACCGTTTCCTTTAGTTATTTAAATATATTTAAAATAACAGAAAAAGTTATTGTTAAGTAAGTTCAATGTCCAGGTTTCCTCAGAAACAGTTTCTATTGGTCACTCTTTTATCTGAGTATAGTTTTGCATACCTTTTTTGAATATCTTGTAATTATTAATTGAAAAGTAGACATTTAAAATAATATAACATGGTAACACTGAAAATGAAACTCTACCTGTCAATGGTTTGCTGGTGGTGCTGTTTGTTGTCATTATTGTTGTTGCTTTTTATTTGCTTAGTCAGTTTCTTGAACAAATTCTGTAAAGTCTGTATTCATTGTCATGTGTGACTATTGCAGTCTCTGCTCATTTAGCTTAGGAGTCAACTAATGATTGAACAGTGAAAAGCCTTTGACCTAAAAGCATCCCAGCCTTTGCTCAAGGCCTATGTGTGTATGATAGAGAATACCTTAAATGTTCCGGCTGGCAGTTTATAAATCACCTTAGCCTTCATTTCCACTTATTCAGAGCTTTGAAGTTGGCCAGAAATAAGAGTTTAAGGCCTTTTCAGGCCTTTCCTGAGTTTGCACACAGCCCTGTACATAGAAATACATGTCTGCTTTCCTACAAATAGGTTGGAGCTTTCTAATACTCTATACGGACGTCTTCTTCCCCAGTTTTTTCTTTTAAACATTTTTTTTTTGATCAGCTTCTTCTTTATTCCAATTATAACTGCTGCCTCAGGCAGCTGCAAGATTAAACAATTACCACTGATTATTTTCAATTAATATCCAGAGGAAAAGGCTATTCTTATAAGCTCTGATCAGGTCAAATAATGACCATGTGTTGGGATTTTTAGGGAACTACCAGGCAGGTAAAATAATAGCAATTCTCTGAAAATTGGGCTTTGAATGTACTTCACACTTTTTCTTCCCTCTCCAGCAGCTGCTAAGCTGCTAGTTTTCACTGTAATTCTGAAGCTACCGGTTTTCAACTGAAGCTACTGGTTTTCAAGCCTACCATGTGTTGGGGAAAGAGGGATTTGAATAGGACAAGTTAAAATGCCACAAAGCCCGCTAGTCTTACTGAGATTCAATGTTTTTCTTGAATAAACACTCATTAGATTGTGAAAGCCCCTTAAAAAGTTCTGAATATATTGATTTTGACAATTTTTGCCTGTGTTCTCACTGCTTTTCTTGAGGAGTAGATTTTCTGAAATCCTTCAGAAATAACAAATTGTTATTTTAAGCCACTAAGTTTTGTGGTGGTTTCTTACAAAGCAAAAGATAATAAAAACATTTTTTCTCTTCATTTTCTACTTAGTATAATAGTCATGCAGTCACTAGTCCATCTGTTATTAAGACTGAAAGCTCTTTGAAAGCAAGGACAGCATTTAACATATCTTTGTATCACCCACAAAGCCTAAGTGCATTTAGGTTTTCTATTTGTTGAATGAGTGAGTGATCCAGCAAATGAGACAGAGACATGCTTAATCTGATGTTTAATAAAGAAGAACTAAATAGAGGTTGGGTGTGGTGGCTCACACTTGTAATCCCAGCACTTTGGGAGACCGAGGCAGGCAGATCAATTGAGGTCAGGGTCAAGACCTGCCTGACCAACATGGTGAAACCCTTTCTACTAAAAATACAAAAATTAGTCAGGCATGGTGGCACACCCCTGTAATCCCAGCTACTCAGTCGGCTGAGGCAGAACTCCTTGAACAGGAGGTGAAGGTTACAGTGAGCCGAGATTGCACCATTACACTCCACCCTGGGTGACAGAATAAGACTTTATCTTAAAAAGCAAAAACAAAAACAAAAAACAAACCTAAATATAATTATTTTTTAATAATTTATAATCTAGAGAGAATATTTTTGCATCTCATGGTAGTTCCTACTGTGACAAAAATAAGACTATTATCAATATTAATATGTAATAATTATATTTTAAAATATACATTGAAGTAAATTTAGTTATGTTTAAGGAATAATTGATTTTTAAATCTAAGTATATAATGAATGAAAATCCTTATAATTACTATATTTCCCTTTCAGAAATTTATATTGTGCATTCAAGACCAAAATATGATTTTGCTTGCCAAGATTGTGCTATTTGAAGAAAAATAACATGTTAAAAAAAAAAACTATTCTTACAAACTATTCTTGTTGTTTATACCACAGAAGCACAAATGCTTAATGTGACACAGAATAGTTTCTCTGGGTCTTGCCAAAGTTTCTGTTATAAAAGAGGCCATATTGGGTTACCAATCTGTTACCAGAGAGATATAATGACAGCTTGCTATGTCTAAGATATCCATGCTTGAATATTTTGAATGGAGTGTAATTTCCTATAAGAAATCCTATCCATTGCTTATTCAGTGATACTCCCATTAAAAAAAATATTGTTGATCTTTACTTGCTAAATTCATTCATATATTGGGCTAGAAATTCTCAGTGGGGGGATATTTCCTGCCTTCCCTCAATTTTATGCATGTTGTATGTAGTTTAATGTCATAAATGAAAATTTTATCCACATAAATTAGTACTAACCTACCTTTGAAGAGCCCAGACTCAGTAAAATTTAAGTGTAATTTATACTTTATTTTAAATTGTCTATTTTTTACACATTAATTAAGGTCATCTAAATATTCGTGGACCAATGAGGGCACAAATATACCAACTAACAAAATATTCAATATAAAATCAATATTTAAAAAATATAGCTAAGTAAACATCATACAGTCAAACTAAAGTTGGTCAAAGTGATCCAAGCATGCTAAGGGAAATGTGTCGCCTGGGAGCCCACCTCACACTGGCCTCTGAGGCTAAGGGGCTAGCTCTAGATGTAATCTGGAGTATCTCTGAAGCCTTGTAATTCATATATCTTGGACTCCTTTAAACTTGTAATTCACTTCAATGTTGTAGAAATCTAAAATGTAGCTTGCATCTGCTCCCTGACATCTCTGTGTACAGCAGCTCTCTGTTTAATCATCAAGAAAACCATATGAAATGTAGGGGAAGTGGCCAAATGATCAGAAATAGAACTCCTTAAAAATGACTAATTACAGTACAAGCAGTGTCCAGATCTCAGAAACAGTGTCAGTGCAGCTTTGACTCTGATAAAAAATTTATTTCATAAAAAATCTTAACATTAAAATGTTTCTTTCTTGGTGTTAAGATTAAGAAGGGTTTTTTTCTTTATATTTTCTCAGTTGTTACAAGGAGCATGAATTGTGCTACTGATCAGGTTTTTAAAAATTACAGCTATTCCCATCTTGGGAAAAATAACCCTAACTTCTAATGTGACCTATAAATTATCCCTATATTCTTCAAGGACAGAGATGAGGGAAAATTAACACAAACTGCACCCCCTCACACACCTAAAAGGCCATATGCCTCAATATGTTAGTGGTGAGGCAAATTCTTTATAAACTGATAAGGGTACTAATATTATTTCTTCTATTTTGGTAGGTAAAAATTAAGTTGAAAAAGTCTAGAATCCCCAACCTATAGCCTTTATAA